GCCATAGGCTATAATCTCTTTCTGCAAAGTATTGTTGCTTCAATAGGGGGAAAAACTCCCTGAGCTCCAAAGCTGTTGACTGAGCGCCGATCCAGAAATGCTGATGCCTTTCAGATGCATGTGTGTAAAGCAGCGAGAGGAGGCAGGACACTCCACCGCCTTCCCGAAGCTGTTGGCTCTCTCCTCTGCTCTAAGCCGTGCTCTCTGCTCACTCACACACACACACACGTTCTGGCACTTCAAACGGCTCGCTCACTGGCATGCAGTGGAGTGGATTGTAAATGAAAAAATTGAGACCCCTGGGAGAGAAGATGGAGCTGAAAGGCTCTCGTAATTACGTGGCAAAAGACTTTGTGCTGTCTTTGACGTTTAACAGCCCTCCTCCCTCCTCATCACAGCCTCCCATCGAAGGTTAACCCTCCCCAGTCTCTGAATTCCAGATATCTGTCACTTTTTATCATTTCGCCCAACAAAACTTACATAAACAATGTTAAAGCGATTGGTGGCATCTAGACATTAAGTTTGTAAGAAATGTCCATTAATTGGATGGTTTGGTTAAATACAGATGTAGTAAAATGGCATCTTTAAGTTTTTAGGCGAATGAAAACGAGGCCGTATAAGGTAAAGTTGAACCATTGAGGCCATTCACACAGAACGTGTTTTTGCGTTAAAAAAATTGGAATGGGAAAAACGCCGCGTCTTTAGAACGCTGTGTCATGCGCAAAAGCGCAACAAAAAACGTAAGATGGGGTGAAAAGACGTCAGTCACATGTTTACATTAAAAACAACGGAAAAGTAGCTCGGTGGAATACAAAAAAATAAAACATAAAACAAAACGTTCTGTGTGAATAGCCCCTTAAGGTCCTATCACCAGTATTTTTTTTTTGTTTTTTTTTGGAAAGACACAGGCCTATTTTTGATAATGCGTTCGGCGTTTTTTCGTTTTTCGTCCTTGCATAGCATCATTTTCATTGGCTAAAAGATGATACTCTGCCTGTAACGTTCATTGATTCGTTTGTTCAGTACCCTCAAATATATAATGTTGTTCGGCGTTCTTTCAAAAGAAATAAAGACAATTTAATTTCTCAGAGGTTTTTTAAGAGTTGATAATACCACTAGCCTATAAGAATACTCTGGCAACCACAACAAAGCACATGCATTAGCTGTTAATAGCCTATTTCAATGCTACAACTAACGTTCAAAGTTTTGTCGTCTAAATAACTTTTTGTCATCCAGACTCACATAGGCTACGTTATCTGTCAAACCAAAAACCGGAGAAAGTTCTGGCTGCAGTGGCCTATATCTCCAGCTGGGACGGGAGTAGTGTCAGACCACTTGGTGAGCTATAAACAGGGACTTTCACAAGGTAGATGTGCATGTGTTTCAATGGCAAGAGTCTATAGGCTCCTTACTGCCACAGACATCCCGTAGCTTCCAGCCCCAGATCTGGGAAAAGAACACTTGATGCCATCAAAGGAAAACGGATTGAAACCAGATGTGCTGCTTTCCTTCTTTCCATGTATTTAATTAAGCCGCTGTTGGGATTGGAGTAGACCTTTTTCATCATTAGTTCTAACTCTACATTCCCTCAGCTGCCAGCCCCTCTACAAGCGACTTCTCTAAAAAAGAAGGCCTGGTGAGGGATCGTGAAATAGAAGACAGTCTGTAAAACCGGTCCTTTCAACCACAACCAGCAAAACGTTTTTTTAGACAAATGTCAAATCCGTGTGGCGCATGTCCATCATCGCTTGAACTCAGACGTCCCAGTTGAAAGACATTAGGCTACATTTGTTTTTGGCCTGTCAAAATCCAAACGTTAAACGTTTTTTTCTGTTTCATGATGACTTTGGACCGACAACTTAAATTTAGACAAAGATTTGTAATTTGGACAGCTATATCAGAAAGTTTTCTTCATCAATTTCCTTATTTTGTTTCCATTTTAATCGAACTCCATTGATTTAAAATCCAATATTTGATCAATGGAGTTATATGACTTTTCCATTTGTTTGATATTGCTGAGATTTAAATAAAATATAAAGACACTGCACTAAATGTTTTTGAACTGAACTAGAATAAATTACGTTTTTAGATTTTATTCATCTGCATTTTCCAGGGCAGTTTTCCAGACCTGTAAAGCATAATCTTCCCGATATCCTTGGGTTTTCCATGACCATGGAAAGTCTGTAAATAGATGGACAAAATAACGAAATGAAGGGCTATTGTATTTCGCTTTAAAAAAGTAAATAAATAAACATAAATAATAATAATAATACATTTTAAATTATTAAAAAACCACCAAAGGACAAATCATCATTGAAATGTGTTTTGTAAATGTATTTCTTTGCCTGTTATGATTTTTCAACAGATGATTTTATAATGTGTGTAATTGAAAACATGACTCATAACTCTGTGGATTGACATAATGGCATTGTGATAAAAACAGACTCAACAATCCAGCTAAACGCATGAATTACAAAAGGAGTGAATTAGTAATCGAAATAAAACCCAGAACAAGGACAATACACTTAAGTTCACGTCTCAGAATATATAGGCCTACATATTTTCTATCCACAGAACCATGTGATTGAAAAACCATGACATCCTTTGAATTAAAAACGTGTGTAGCCTATTTTCCGTTTAGCCAATTTCCAGTAGTTAAAACAATATACACAATATCTTCTTACACGAAAATAATAAAGAAAAAGCACTGACCAATTTGTCAGGAGATGTGTACGACCATTTTAATGCGCCTCGTAGCACACTAATTATTACAAGAATGGGAAATGGGATTTTGTTTGGTTTGGTAGTATTGTAGCAAGTACTTTTAAAATAAGCAGCGTTCTCGCATCAGTAGTGTTGAATTATTATTTATAAACATGCTTTAACATGGCCCAAGTCTGACTACACCAGCACTGCATTTTTTCAGACAATGAGAAAAATGTTGTCTTAAAACGCGTTTTACCATTCAACAGAAGTCGTCCAGTTATTGCTCACGAGACCATAAACATTTAGTATATATATATATATATATGACTTGAACAAGTTTTGGATGGAAAGTTGAGCGACAGGCGAAATTAAATTCCTCTGACACCATCATCAGAGCTCGCGTGTGTTTTCCGCGCAGGATATGAAGCGCGAGCACAGAGGGAGGCACTTTAATTGTAATTAGCGAAGTAAAAGCTCGCGCTAATCAGCACCAGGGGTCAATGGACAGCACTACCGAACTTGATCGTGTTTAACACGTCAGAATGCCCTCTGAACAGGAGAAATTCAGTCGACTAGTTAGTTCGAAATATAGTCAAATTTTTTTAGGCCTATTAAATCCATGGCAATATTGTTCTCTTTTACCATTCAACAGAAGTCGTCCAGTTATTGCTCACGAGACCATAAACATTTAGTATATATATATATATATATGACTTGAACAAGTTTTGGATGGAAAGTTGAGCGACAGGCGAAATTAAATTCCTCTGACACCATCATCAGAGCTCGCGTGTGTTTTCCGCGCAGGATATGAAGCGCGAGCACAGAGGGAGGCACTTTAATTGTAATTAGCGAAGTAAAAGCTCGCGCTAATCAGCACCAGGGGTCAATGGACAGCACTACCGATAACTTGATCGTGTTTAACACGTCAGAATGCCCTCTGAACAGGAGAAATTCAGTCGACTAGTTAGTTCGAAATATAGTCAAATTTTTTTAGGCCTGTTAAATCCATGGCAATATTGTTCTCAGTGTTAAAAATGTTGTCTGATTTATCTCACGAAATTAATGCAGTAAAGGCTAAGCACTTTTGTTTTGATTTATGATATTTGTTATTATTCTAACTAGCGTTCGTTCCTTATTTTAATCTGCATACAGTATAAAACTGTAATCTTTTTATAATGATTTTCTGTCGATTTGTGTAGCCCATATGTTAAGTATATATATATATATATATATATATATAGGCTATTTATATTAATTACCGTAATGTATTTTAAAAAGAAATAACATTAACAGTCGTTGCTTTTCAATTTAACTTCATGTTGCATGAGGGTAACCTAATCATGATCAAAACCGGATAACCCATGATTTGCCAGAAGGCAGAATGTTTTAGTAAAAGTTGACCCCCCCCAGAGTTTCTCGGGTTACGGAGTCTTTTCAACCTGTCCCGACGGACTGAGAGCACATAAATCAGAAATGCGCTCTCACAAACTGGGCTTTACGAAAATCTTCTTTGCTCTATTTACTTCCAGGATTTGTCAGTCCATGTTTTATAAATTCAAACCAGAATAGAAAAGAAGAGAATTGTATTTCATATTGTGGTGATTTCATACAATTACAGCGAATGACGATATTTAATACGTTTTACTGTTAAGCACATTAATATTAGTATTAATATTTTTGCTTTTAGCCTATGATGGATAAAAATGCAATGTTCTAGCAAGAATTTAAGTTTGACAGAAAAAACGACATATTAATTTACAAACATTTGTCTATGTATTTCTCAAAGGCTGTTCAGACGTTACTGAATCGCTGTAAAGTTTAAGGTGAATATAAGGAGCCTTAGAAGTCGAGAGACATTTGAATGGGCTTCGTGGCTTTCCAGAACCGTTCGTTATAAACCGTTATATGAAATTATGAGATCAACAGTTTCCATATTCTTTACAAATAACGAATGCATTACCACTTTAAACCATGTTTAAAAGACAAGCAAAACTGCAAACGGGATTCCAAAGGGTTATTTCAAACATGCCATGAGGTGCGCAATTAAAAAAAAAAAGCACAAAACTTACTATATTAAAACACTTTATTCACCAACAACTGAATTCATAGCATATTTTATGTCCATTATAATGCACACAAATATATTCAAATGCATGACATTCATAAAATATATATATTTATAAATGTAAAACAAGAAAAAGCTATAGCCTTTCAAAAACCTTTTAAATAATAACATAAAACGTAATAACATAAACATACTATTATATAATGTTAAATGTTTTTAGTGTTGGTGAAAAGCTCTGCATAGTGAATCAGAGTTGTATTAGAAAAGTATAAATTATATACATACAGCATATGTATATATATATAAAAAAGGCATTCCACTTCCCACACTCCAATAGTTTTTTTCCCCTATAGTACAAAAAGAATGGCTCTGTGCCGAGCAAACAGTCAGCTTTGTATGATCAAATCTGCTGTTATTGATTTGTTAACATTCGCATCAAGTTATTTTTATGAGACAAGCCATATATAGATAAAAGATTCCACCATTCACTTGTGCAACATCATGTGAAATAAATCACAACTACAAACCACCACCAATTTTGAATAATGCCAAAGTTATGGAACAATCAGTAAAGTTAACAGTATTTAGTATTTTTATAGTGTTTTCAAGAGACTTGTAGTCCATTTACTTAATGGAAGACAGATTAAATTGTACAAATGACTGACAGCCAAAGAAACCACAATAAAATACATAGCACTGTTTTAACTTGCCACATTAGGATCATGTAGCACTCTCAATGAAAACCAAAAACCAAGCTTAACAGATCATAATCAATATTGAACTCCCATAATGTTAAGCCATTTTTAATGTTAGCAGCAATGGAATAACCCTCACAGTATTTGGAAACTTAACTGACATCAATATCAGACGGAGGCTGTCTTTTATCCTCACAAAATGCAGGACTGTTGGATTGTTCGACACTCACAATTTCTAAAGCTGGTAGCAAGTGTTATGTAAACCGTCATACAGCCTCTATTAAACTGATGATGTTTGGAAGCTAGCTTAGCCCATCTGCAGAAACATCTGTTGCTTTGCTCTCCTGATCGTCTTGGCTGATCTTTGGTTCTGTAATGGAACTGTATTTGCTCATACTTGAGCCGTCCACCTCTGTACACCCCTCCGTGTCTGCTGCAGGACCGTTTTCAGTAACAGGCTGGGAGTTGGCCTCCTTCTCTTTGTCCTCTAGATCGGTTTCCTCTGGGCTGGGGACTTCCTCAGCATTAAGCTCTAGCTGAAGCATCAACTCCTCTAGTTTGCGGGCCTTGCACAGCTCATTCTGTTGGATGATCGCACACAGGTGCTCTGTCAGCTGCTCTTTCACTTCCGTTTTCCTGTGCAAGTCCATCTTAGCGGCAACATACTCAGCCTCTGCTTTCTCAAAGCGCTTCCTGTCAACAATAAGAGATAGGCAGAGACAGGACGGTTAGAAGTATAGAAATGCATATCCTAAGCTTGCTGTGCACACAGGAATCGCAACTATTTTGCTGTACTCAAATACAAGTACATACTCAACTGAGCACAGCGTTTATAAAATAAATAGAAAGATTCCTGCCCTGGTAAATGATTCTCAAAGGCATATTAAAATATTTTATAAATTGTTATAAAAAAAATTCAAGATTATTCTAAATTATTACTAAAACATTTTAGGTGAGAACGGGGTGATTTGAGCCTGTGGGGAAGTTGAGCCACCCCTTGATTCTAGACAACAAAATTGGTGATATGACCACACATATTTGAGGAGTTAACCATTTTACTCACTCTGTGATTGAGAGGCCCGTGGAATAATTGGTAACTACATTTAGGTTCAAAAAAACTGTTTTTTTTTTTGGAGTTCAAAGTGATTTTTTTATGTTCAAGGACTCATACTTCTTGTGTCTGAATAATTACAGACAAATATACTGAAAAAATATCATGCATGTGTTTGTGATTTAGGAGGTTATAATATGAGGCTATACTGTTAGCATAATGTTAGCTCTAACCTGCTGAATGATACAAGTTTGTTAAAATGTTCAGAGTGGGGTAATTTGAGCCGACAATCTTGGGGTAAGTTGAGCCAGTGGCTCACCCCTTCTTATAATTATAAAGTATAATTTTACTGTAATACTACATATTTCATTAATTTTAGACCAAACATTTTTTATTTTGTTCTTTGTTTTGAACTTGATTTTGTTCTCAATTTTAAATAGGCCTTGTTTATGAAAATTGGCCACTGAAGTTTTATGAAACTGTATTTCCCCGCAACATTTATAAGTGGGATGTTGAGTACTATTAGTCCGGTTCCTTATGGTCAACTGCACTCAGTTTTTTAAATTTTTTTTATTCTTCAATTTGAACCTTATTTTGTTCAGAAATTTAAATAATTTTAAAAATGCTTTCTTATGAAACTGTATTTCCCCGCAACATTTATAAGTGGGATGTTGAGTACTATTAGTCCGGTTCCTTATGGTCAACTGCACTCAGTTTTTTTTATTTTTTTTATTCTTCAATTTGAACCTTATTTTGTTCTGAAATTTAAATAATTTAAAAAATGCTTTCAAAGTTGTGAACTGTATCTTTAAATAAAACTTCTCAGAAATCATCCATCCATCCTATTATCCAAACCTTTTTGTCCTTATTAGGGTTGCGGGTAGCTGGATCCCAACACAGCGTCTTGAGCCACAGGCGAGGAAAATCCCTGCATGGATGGCCAGTCCATCACAAGGCTCACACATAGATTTTAAGAGGTCATTTTTATTGACTTTCTCTTCTTTTGATATAGAATGAGGTGAAAATGTTCCGTTTTACTTCAGTATAATCAGTGGCACAGTTTAACTCCATGTGGCTCAACTTACCCCTCAATGCGGGCAAGTTGAGCCAAGAGACCATTTTTTTTGAAAGCCATATTTTGGAAGTGGTTTATTTTAGATCCAAAGTGATTATTCCCAAGGATGCACCACATCCTGAAATGTATGTACATTACTGTCATGTGCTCGCTTTAAACATACCTTAAGTAAAAACTGGCTCAATTCATCCTGCTCTCCCATATATATATATACACATTATATATACATACATATACTCATTACACAAAATAATGTTCTTTTTAGCAGCATCATATGACCCCTTTAAATATGTAGTAAAACTGTTCAAAAGTAAACTGAGTAACAAAATTAATTAAAAAAAACAATGTTAATGTTCTGCTACAAGTAATAATTTAGATGCACATGCATTTGTCTTTCATAATTTGGCCAAATTAATACAGAAATGCTACAGAGGGCAGTATTTTCACCAGATTCTATGTGCATGTACTTGCAATTATTTTAAAGGGGTCCTATTATGCTTTTTCACTTTTTTAATTTTAGTCAGTGTGTAGTGTGTATGTTTGGGCATAAAATGTGATATCACAAAGCGGCCCATTAGAATATCATTAAAATAATTCCCGCCTACGGAAACTCGAATGGTTGGGGGGTGGGGAGGGGCGAGTTCGTGGTTAGAACGCTTGGTTTAGTGCATCAGACAAGACGACGACGATGACGAAGTGCTGCTGTAGCCTCAAGTTTTCGCAAGTTATTACACATGCACCTGAATAATTATGTAAATATGTATGTTACAATTATGGATGTAATCTGCAGAATTTACACTTCAATTATGAGACTACAGTGTTTCCCATACATTGAGTGCGGGTGTTTTTATATCACTGTATTTCTGAAGGAAACCGACTGTCTTCAGAAAATTGGATGCCATTTTCATTTAATCTTGCTTGTAATGTCTGATAAAGCAGTGTTTTTTTGATCGGAGCAGAGTGCTGCTTTGTGTACAGCCGTTACCGGGGAAACATTGATCTCTACCACTCCAACAGGCAGAGAATGAGTTTGCATACATATGCCGCCTAGGAAACACTGGACTATGGACAATAACGTTACCACTGTAATATGTCTTGCAATATCCGTGCGTGCAAAGGTTCTGCGCGATCCTCTTGTTCAATATTCTCTGGGTCTGAATCCGGCTCAAATTGATATGGCAATATTGACGCCATCCTTAACTAAACCGGAGCAGACGAAACTTGCTGCTTTGGCAAGGGGCAGGGCAGTACCGAAACACCGTCTAAGCTGTTCGCCAATCACAACGCACTGGGACAGCTAACCAATAATAACACATTTCGTTTTTCAGAAGGCTTGCCTTCATCAAACCCGGAACTAATCGAGCCGTTTGTGCCAGGATGGGGAGAAAGGTATTGTAATCATGTAAATTATGCAAAAAATTATGTGTTTTTCGAACCACCAAGCATGAGAGCATGTTCTAGTACACCCCCTAAACAAATTCAAGACATTGTAAAAGAGCATAATAGGACCCCTTTAATTATGTACTGGATGCACTAGGTTAGGGTAGCACTGTAGATTTGCTACTTTAAGGTGATAAATTTGAGGAAGTGGCACATAAAACAAATTGAGAGGGATTTCAACAAGAAGCTAGTGTGAACTTGGTTTGCAGTACACTTGGAATGGACCTTAAAAAATGGACTACAAATTAATATTTACCATGCCTGGGAATAATCCATGCTGGATTGCTCTATCAGTTTTCTGAGAATGCCAATGTCGCTGGACACAGAATCATCCAGTAACTGAAGTTCTCTCTGGATCTTCTTCAGTCTCACAGTTTCAGCCCGTGTCTGTTTGGACCTGGGAAATAGTTATGTCTAAAACATTGTGCTTTTCACACAATACATTTGGATTTTCATACATACAAAGGGTTCTACTCCAGACTGATTGATTTTGATAGTTGTTTAAAACTAGAGATTTGCTCTTACTTTTCAGCAATGGTTTTTGTAAGGAGAGCTTTTCTTTCTTTATTCTTCTCTTCCATTATCCGTTGCTCCCACTGCAACTGCTGCAGACGGTTCTTCTCTCGCCTGTCATAAGAAAAGTTTGATGGAGTTATATATTTGAAGCCATTACAACACAAAAATAACATATGTTCATTTACACTGATTCCTACAGATTTAATGTGTATTACTTTAATATAACCAGTAAAGGATTTTTTTACACTTTTGGCGCATTATTTCACTATTCATTGTATATAAATTGCTTTAGAATATCTGTCACTTTTTATTTTTTTGGGGGGGTTAAATATGATCCAAATATTATCTTGTATAGTTATATAAAGTGAAGTGACGTGTGGCCAAGTATGGTGACCCTTGGAATGTGTGCTCTGCATTTAACCCAAGTGCACACACACAGTAGTGAACACACACACACACACCGTGAACACACACACGGAGCAGTATAGTTATATAAATTAAAAATAATTAATATAAAATATTGTAATACCAAATATATTTACATCAGTGCATGAATATCTGAGCCAGTGTTTGCAAAGGAAATAGACTTACTAACAATTCCACTTCCTCTTTGCCCAGCTCCTTGATGACTGCTGGTGGTGCAGACTCTGCAGGTGATTCTGGGTCATGCTTAACAGGTTCTGCTTCATGTTTAACCAGTTGCGTCTCCAACGGGTTGGACTCGTCCTGTGATTTGACAGGAGCAAAAAGAGTGACAGCAGGTAGGTCTGGGGGCTTGGTAAGCTGTTGGTCGGGTGGAAGAGAGTGGCTGCCCTCTTTCTGTTTGGCTGCCAGCTGCAGTGCCCTTTCCCGCTGCAGTCTGCTCCGGTTAGTCGGAGCGGCTCTCCGGCCACGACCCAATGTGACAGACACAGCCTGGTTTACTGGATAAGAGCACATTAGAGCAGATGTATCAGTATTCACAATTAGAGTTAGTGGCCGTGTCTTAAAATCTAGAAGAGGATCCAAACCCGATGTTTTGTTAGGCAAGTCGATATGTATGTTTTGCGACACATTTTACGTACTTAACTGAAATAACAATCAGCATCGTTATATGTACACTTCGTTACGTATACAGACAGATTGCACGAATGAAGAACGTTTTTGAGTGATGATTCAACATGTACTCACTGAGGTCGCCGTTGTGTTTCAATCTTTGCAGTTCTTCTTCTGAAAATCCAGCCCACGCAGCCATTCTCAGTTCCCTTTAAAGTTACTTGCAACTAAATTGCAAATCGCTTTTTATCAAAGACAAATATATGTGGGTTAAATTTGTTTTGTTTTTTTCAACATACACACGCGAAAATGAACTTTACGTTCTTATCTGGCTGCCATGTTTGTGTATAATGACTGCCACGTTCAAGACCCTAGAAAGGCCCCTTCGCGTGTGCCTTGGAATTTGCCTGTTTTTTTTTATATATTTCATATACTATTATGCAAGTGTAATGTTGCGACTAAAATACTACTTTTTTAATTTTATAACTTTTGATAGTGAAGTAAATTAAAAAAAATAAGGCAATAGTTTTAGGTGTTTGAACTTTACAATTTCTACGGGCTCATATAAAAACAAACCAGTTCCATTCTTGTCCTTAATTGTCATGGGAATAATCCCTGCATGATTATATCTACTTCCCTACTTTATAAAAAATGAGTAAGATGTATGCAGTCTTGGAAACAGAAAGCAAACGAGATGAGTCTCAGCAGTGCTGAGTCAGCACTGAAAAATGTATTAGGTCAGGCTTTAGAGGAACCCTTGTCACAATGATAGATAGATAGATAGATAGATAGATATTATTACATTGACTACTTTAAATAGTTTTGAGTATATTGGATATTAGGCTAGTTTTAGGTAGGCCTGTAAGACATTAAAGGATATGCTTGTATGCATAGAGCAGTGAATTAAACTAGCTAGGCTGTATGGTTTTGTATAACTATTGCATTAAAAATGTTTAAATATTGTATGAAAGGTGTTTGGTTTTTAGTAGTCATCTAGGAAAGCTACATCAGACTATCGGAGTCAATGGCTAATTTTGTTTATCCTCCTCTTCTTGCTCCAATTACCCTCTTCTCATTCACTGAGCCATCCTGCACTCCTAGTGGTATGAGAGGTCAGAGGTTAATGAAAGAGCATGCTTGGTGATAAAAAGCATGAAATCCATAGAGAAAAAGAAATGTCAAACAGTTGTATCAAGTTACACTTTTGCTTTATTGCCAGAAGCACCCATGATTGTGGCAGGAGTAAGCGCAAAGCTCAGTCTGTCTGTGTGGGGCTGTGAGAGGCCCTGTCATTTCTCTGGATCAACTGCTTATCTGTGTGATCTGGCACGTGTTGCCAAATTAGTCCTGAATGAGTGAATTCTTGTTTGCTACTTTTGCTGCAACACTGATGTCTGATTTCCCATTATTACCATTAGCATCAGTGAGCCATTCTGAGTATGACCTCCATTTCTGGTGGGTGGTTTGGTAGCCTGTGTGTGTTGAACTGCCAGTGTTGGCAAGTAAAAGTTCTTAGTCAAACACTGAGATAGATAGATAGATAGATAGATAGATATTAGTATTTCACATGCATTGAAAGATACAGTATTTAGACAGGCTTTAAAGGGTAAATAAATAAATGAAACATTTTATGCATTAAAACTGATTGTTTTATGCATTTTTCAAAATATTATACAAACACATTACATAAATAAATATATTGATATTATTACTATATAATTATTTCTATATTATTACTCCTAATTCATTCATTACTCTGCTGATTATTATGAAAATTCAATAAAATAAATGTTAAAAATATTTAACATAGGATATGAAATATTATACAAAATATAAAACATTTCAATTGTTTATATGTGTGTGTGTGTGTGTATACATATGTGAAGTTAATTTAAAATTAATTCATATTCATTGCATTGCATTGCATTGATATATATGTGTCTGTCTGAATGCACTCTTACACTCTAATTCACATACGGTTTGAAATGTCTCTTATTGTGATTCTTCACAAATATCACCTATTAATTCATTTAAATTGGCAGCCATCTTTGACAGATTTGATGTGTTTGCCCCATTGCCCTCAAGGTGCAGTGTTGCCATGACATAACACTTCATCCAGACAGGAAACCATAAATAAAAAAACTTGCAGCTAACAGTCCCCTTAATTATGTCTAGTCTCTCTTTCTGTTTTCTGCTCACTCTGTATTATTTTTTTTCTGGGTCTGTATGTCAACACGCAGAGGACAAATATGCTTCTGGCCTCCCAACCATTCTTCAGCTTTATTTTGTTAAAAAGTCAAGCACTGTTAATTGCTCTACACAGGGCAACTAAACAATCACTACCACTTCACAGCAGCTTTTTACAGGCAGACACATCTTTGATCCATCTGGAATTATGTGTGCACTTTAAAGGAGAAACACCTCAGGAAAGAATAAGACAGACTGATGCGTGGGCTCCATATGGCAGGGTGAGTGAACATGAGCTTGTGTTAAATTAAGATGGAAGATTCTTTGGCTCAGTCCTGACCATATTCTGATTCACAAGAAAAGCCTGCGAGCAACGTCCACCATTACCCAACAGAACAAGCAGCCTGAATGAATTTGCAGTTCATACGTTTATACTTCAGAGCAAGGATGGCAGCGAAATCACTCCTACATCTGAATGTAAGACAAGAATGAATTCAGAACAAATATGGTTTTATTAGATACAAGTCATCCCCATTAATAAAACCACATTTATTGCAGGATTGAAATAACATCATAATCTTGGAATGAGTAATATTGACCATGTATGTCCTAAATGAGAAATTTGTGCAAGGAACATCACCCAACACCTTGCTAACAAGTTCTGTTTGGCTATCGAAAATTAAACAAACAGATAAAGTTTCTTTTAGACATAATGTGCATATAAATCATATGGAATGATTTGAGAGAGAGAGAGAGATCATAAAAAAATGAATGATTCATGATGTGTTATATCATAAAATAGCTTTTTCTTTGCTGAGAAATATATATATTTAACAAAACTACGGCTTCACGGTTCAATATGAAGAGATACTTATTTTGTGAGCCTGATAAATTTGCACATTAGATCAAGTTTTACATTTTAGACCATGTAAGGGAAACGGGAAGAGCTTTGGCAGCATTCTCAGAACTTTGGCTAACATTCTGGCAAAGTTGTATTAAAGTTATGAACAAGCGATCTTTTCCAATAATGTTAGAAAAACGTTTGTTCAGAGTTATCTAGTATTTAATAAAGTTGTCAAAAATGTGATTTATACATGATTAATGGAACGTTTTATTTCTAAAACGATTTTTTTTTTCAGAACGTTTAGAGAACATTCAGAAGTAACATTCCAATAATGTTTGCAAAATTATACAATGGAATGTTCCCTTAATGTTTGCTTGACATTAATCTTGACGTTAATCTTTTTTTTAAACATTACAAAACTGGATGTTTTAAATATTCAGAGAACATTCAGAAATACTGTTTTTATAACTTAATGGAAACTTTAGCAAAACATTCTTAGAACATGTTTTTGCTGGGTAACACAGCTGACAGCCATGTATAACTTATGGGCAGTTAAGTAGGAATCAGTACAGGAACAGCAAGTGCACATCATGGCCTCCCTGTGACTTTTAGCCATCAATAAAAACGTACTTCCCTTAATCAGTCAGGGAATGGATCAAAAAGACAAACAGCCAATTGATGGTTGACCTCAAGGAAGGTTGAGGTCAATATGGGGATGATTAGGGGTCAAAGCTGTCAAAGACTGAACTTTAGGCAGATGTAATGGTTTCAGATCCCACATGTTTTGACTCTCCCACATTTGTGTCCGTCACAGAGCAGTTCTTTCTGTTTATGCTTTGAGACAGAGTTTCAGTTTCCAGTCATGGCCATCTGCAAAGAGTTTAGGGGAGCAGAGACGGATCTGTGTGATGTCATGCGCTGATTAGAAAAGACAGAAATTATCCTGTGATCATTTGCTGTCTCTTTCACTGCATGTTTATCATAAAGCTATGTTTGTCACACGCTGTAAAAAAAAAAAAAAGTAAATATAAAAACAACCAAAGATTAATTGCTAATTTTTGGGACAAATGACAAATTTAAATCAATAAGCAGTGCAGGTGAGTTGGATTAATGCTGTTTTTTTTCTTTGGAGTTCAAATAGACTAAAGCTCTGTTGTTCAATTTCATTCGCCCTCTTATCGGCATGACCTGTATCAATTTGGTTGCATAACTTAACACTTTTATTGTCATGTTTAGTAAATTATTGTCTTGTGATGTCAGTGTGCGCTTGTTCCTCTACTCAAAATGAGATGTTAGTTGATTGTTACTGTTGTCATAGTTGAGGTCTGTGTTTTTATCTCATATTGATCTTATAAGTATTTATTTGATGTTGTTAATATTTATGTGATATTGTTTAAAACAAAGATTTTGGTCTCAAATATATACGTCCAATAGAAAACAAGATGAATCACATAACATTTTAAAATAATGTAAATTCTTACTTAATACTTAATGATAATGGGTTACAATAATGACAGATTTTAAGCATGTTCGTGGCATTCTAACATTAAAATTTTCATGTGAGCAGCTGCCTAAATTTTTATGCACTGCACACGCCGCTCTCTTTTCATGTTCTCTTGTATATTAACCCCTATACTGGCATGATGTGGCATTGATTGACATAATTTGTGAGTTACGTTATTAGAGGTGACCAGAACAAGAAGATTTTGGCTTGTCTCCTGAATCATGTCACCTGAATCTGACTCCACCTACAGTCTATATTTGTGCACAAACGGCTTGAATTAGCAGTTTTGCTCAGAGACCAGTCCAGGCTCTGATCCAGGACTTCACTGCAAGTCTCCTGGACAGCCACCCACAGCACATCTGGCAGAACCTCAGACATACAGCAAAACAAATATCAAGATGAAACAAGGGTAGATTGTGTAAGAAACTTGAGACAATAAAGACGGTTCCACAGCAATGCTTTGTAGGCAGAAATAGATGGTAAATAGTTGAGAAAGGCATCATTTTTATAGAGAAAGGGGAGATATACGTTAGTGTAAGCAAAGACTATTTTAAATGAAACAATTTTAGTAATCATTTCATAGGAAATACTACAAATCTTGGCGTAAATAATAAATAATGTAAATTCTGTCATCATTTTCTCACTTCCATGTTGTTCTAAATCCATATGATGTTCTTGCATGGAATACAAAAAGAGACATGTGGGACTTTAAGACAAAGGAATCTTTGCACAAAAGTGAATGAGTTACTTTAGAAAACAAACAATTTAAGATTATACATGATTAATCTTAAAATTCTAATCTACATAAATGGTTTGAACAGTTAATGAA